AAAATATTTTTTTCACATTATATTATGTCATTATTTGAAGTTTTTTAAAATTAAATTAAATATTAAGAAAATAGTAGATATGAAATTATATATATGTATATATTTTCCAACACAGCAGTTGGAAATGATTTGACCACTCCAGGTCCCCCAACTTTGTGGGTAAGGACCTCACTATGCTACATCTACTTCTTTCTGGGTCCTTGAATTCATTACATTACACACAAGGACTTCCTGTATGTATCAACATTATTAGACCCTCTCCAATGGAATTAACACTGGGGGGGTGACTTTTCCCTGGAGTGTTACCCAAGGAGAAAAAGTACCCGTAAGAATATCAATTTTATAATTTTTTATTTAACAATGGAAATTTTATTAATTTTTAATTTTTTTTACAATAAATAATTTTAAATTAAGTTAATTAATATTTGTTTTTTTTTTTAAAATCGAGCCTATAATCAATCATGCATTTCACTTGCTGTTCAATAAATACTGTGGTCATTACTAGGTTACATTGGGGGTTGCTTATTAATTTTTAATTTAAGTGATAAATTTTAAATTTTTTATTTAAAAAAATTAATTTTATATTTTTATTTAAAAACTAATTAAATAATAATGTTAATATAAAAAACACAATGTTTATATTCTTAAATATAAAAAATGTAAAATTAAAATTTTTAAATAAAAAAATAAAATTAAAATCTTTAAATAAAAAAAATTAAATATCCACCATCTTAATTAAAAATTAACAAAATTTATATTTTTAAACAAAAAGTTGCAAATTAACATCTGCGCCTTTTCTCATTAGTCAAGTGTTCCCCGGTGTTACTTACGCAGGTGTAAAACAACCTTCTTTTTTGCCTTTTTCAAATTTTGGGTCCACTTACTTTGGTCCTTTTTTGGTTTTTTAAATTTTAGACTTTCTTTTGATTTGAATGTAAAAATATGAATAGATTAAAATACAAAAATTATTTTATAATTTAAATTGTATCAACCTGTAAAATAAAAATTATTAACTAAAAAAACCTTTAATATCATATAATTAATTTTTTATCTAATAATTAATATAATACAATACACAATACGATACTTCACTTCTTCGTTAAAATAACATTAGTATAACTTTTTGAAAATCTCACTTGAGTCCCAGCATTGAAGTAAAGAGTCCTAAGTTGAGTGACACTTGTGTATCATCATATAAATTGAATTGAATAAAATAATATGAGTGAGGATGATGCAGCAATTGATGATACTCAGTGCTCTTATGTTAAACAAAACACATGAATCAATATTCAAATGTTCTCTCCACGTTCCTGTGAGAAAGGCAAAAAGGACTAAATGCATTCTGGAACAAATACAATGTTGGGTTTACAACAAGACCTAGGCATCCACTGGCTTCTTCTTTTTCAGATGTCTGCCTAATTAAATAACCCTCTGATTATTCATTAGATGTGGATATCATGAGTTCTTACACTGAATGGTAGCATCAATTTGATGTCATGCCTTCCCTTCTGATTCCAGAGCCACTCATGTTATGCCAATGGGGTGAGATTGTTAGAATGCTTTAGATATCCAACGAAGATATATCTCACTCATTGTTGTGCAACTTCACCTTCATGTTCACATAATCCAAGTAACCCTGTTCAATGCGAATACGAGTGAGTGAGAGTTCAAACTGTAATCCTGCTAAAGTTTGGTGCTTTAAAATTTTTTACCACTTGATATTGTCAATCTGAATGTTCATGATAAAAACTTCAAAATTCCTTAACATTGCCCTTCTAGAAATCGCTGACCAATAGTTTTATACTTTATATAAAATTGAGAGTGAAGTTCCAATTTTCAAGAAGATATGTCATTAAAATGCTATAGAAACATTAATTTCCATTCTTGCTGCAAAATGAAAGATAATGAACTAATGAAATTTGCTTTTGGGTACATTACATGCAAAGAAAGATACCTGGAGAATCTGGACAGCAGCAAATTTGTCAAAAATTGTTTTTGACTGAACTGGGTGCAAATTCAAAGGCTTTAATAGCAGTTCCACATTCTGTAAACAATAAGAATCATAAGATTTTTTTTCCATTGGTCTCATGCTGTTAGAAGACTTCTTGAAGAAAAGGCATGCCTGTGATTATGACTGTAGGTTATTAACAGCTAAACAGCTAAACCTACTTCACAGTTTCATCTGACTTAATTAGTGGAAATGGGATGAGCTTGTCACAGCAGTTTCATCTGACTTAATTAGTAGAAGACAATGGATGAATCTTATTAACTAATCATATAAATCTAATAGACAGAGATTATCAGCACTACCATCTATTAACCAAGGAATACTATATATTCTTTGGCCTGCAGCTACAGCCTACAGTCATTGAAGAAACATTTCACCTTATGCAGAGAAACTTTCCTAGTTTTTTTTTTTTTTTTTTGTTCTTTTTTTCAATGTACAACTATAAGGACCTACCTTTGACGTAAAGCATTCGTTCCAAAATGTGTACTTCACACCATCAAGTTTTCCCATTTTACTTAGCTCATCAATGAATAGCTTCACTTGTATAGCCTAATCAAAGAAGGAAAAAAGAAAACAGAATGAGATAAAGGACCAGAGAAGAGATTTGTTAGACTGCTCATGAGACAAGAACACACATCAGGAGCCCTTCTTTGTCTGTCAAATGGATAGCCAATAACAAAGCCCACCAGAGATAATTCAGAGATCTGCATAGAGGCAGGGGCAAAGACAACTCAATATCATGACAGATGGATATATTTATTTATTAAACATGACTCTATATTTACACATTCCACCATCATACCAGTTGTTAGATGGATATACTTATGAAAATTTTATAAAAATGAAGGATGTTACTAGTTCTGTTCTGGTTGTCTTTTTGACACCTATATACATCATTTATACACAACACAGTCAAAAGGAAAACTATGATCACAATATGACCATTGAATGGTTGTGAGAAATTGATCAGAGCTGTGGCTATAATTATTATATCATAAAGATACTTGAAAAGAAGATGTTGGCTGCATAAGACATCCTTGACTGTGGAATTACAGGAGTCACAGAAGCAGATGATTAGTAAAAGGAAGATATGAATCCCTCAACATAGGGATGTAACAGATGTTCCAACACAGATGCAGAGAGAAGTAACAAATACCAGTGATGTTAATCACAAATCAAGCAAGGTTTCCTACAGAAGATTATTTTCCCTCCCCACCCTTGCATCCATTGCACCCAAGCAAGGAAAATAAACAAATCCCCATCTCATGCCACCATCCAAGAGCGAATTAGTGTTCCCAAAATCCAACCCCACTACTTCATTAACATTGAGGAATCAAATCAACATAAGCAGTCAATGTGTTCATAGGACACTATTTGAATTTTTTCAAGGCCATACGATCAACATTTGTTTTAATTTACTTAATAAAGACTAAGTATATATCAAGTGAATGAAAAACTTGCCAGGCTTTGAAAATCAGTTGCCATCAAATCCATATTTGTCTTCTTTCGAAGCAGAACACTGCACACATTCATAAAATTAACTTTAATATCAACAACACTCTAGAACCAAGCTTGAAAGATAACACAAAAGGCGCACTTTAAGAAAGCAAAAAAGTTCTCAACGGTTATCCATTTTCCCAAATGATGCACTACATGCCTTTTCCCAGCAGACTCAGACAAGCATTACCCTTTGTTTGCTTCATATTATATTTTACCCATAAAGTCATCATCAAGCAAGGAAACTTACTCCAATCCCAGTAGCTCCGGACTACCCACTACCCAGAATTCCAACCACTAAAATAAACTACTAAAGATAAAAGATTTCAGATGGTTTTGCAGAGGGACGGAGATGATGGGATTAAACAAGAACAAAGAAACCCCCACTAGTCCACATACACAAAACCAAAGTATATCACTTGCTAATGTAAACTATAAACGGAAAACGTCAAAATACTTAGAAAACACAAAACAACTTGGCGAGCATGATTATAGGCGGCAGATATTATACCTTAGAGGGGATGCGACTTTGTTACGAGGGTCTGAAACTGCTACTCCGACATACTTATCGCCGACATCTAAACCCAGCAACCGTCCTCGTTCCAAAGCTTTCGTCTTTAGCAAATTATGAAACAAGTCCCACGGCTTCACGTACTGCATCTTTGAGAATCGGATGCTAACAAAACTATTTACTCTGCAGATTTCCAATTTCATGAATAACAACATTTCTTATTTCCCATTTCCGGCGACGGGAAGAAGGGCGGCTGTTCTCACCTGCTGGGCTATGGCTGTCGGCCCAATTGAGAAAATTGTGAATCCGTATCCAATACAGAAACAGAATACTTGGATGTATCTGTCAGCCTTATCTGGATAATTTTGTGGACCAATATGTCCAATGCAAAACTTGATTGTTTTGAGCCCGTCTTCCCTTCTAATTTGGGCAGGACTGAATAAATAACATTTGGGCCTGCTATTTCTTTTTTTGACGCAGGTTAAATATATAATAAATTTATCTTTTAATTATAAATTTATGTTAAAAAATAAAAAGTAACCTTTAAATCTCTATACTTTTGACAATAATATTAAAATTAATGTTAACTTTTATTTTTTATTCAGATACATTTATGATTTATGACGACAGAAAATATACTTACGATAGGTAGGAAAAACCCATAACGTTTTGGGCCATTTGCCCAATCGTTATTCTTGTGGGGCCTCCAAATCCGATGACTCCAGTTAAGTTGACGCCTTTGGACCCACGAAGGATTTTGTTTAATCACTAGATGAACTAGTTATTGGAGTATTGGACTTTAAAATTATAGAGGGCCTTCTGAGTCAACAAAAAAATTCTTTCAGGGCCATAAAAGCGGTTTATTTGGGCTGATCTAACCAATAGACAGTTAATGCTTACGGTCAATCTCATAAATCTCATTATTAGGGCCTTCTGATCTGACCAAATACCCAACACACGTTGTTCGTATCTGTTCCCCCCAAGTAGCCCATAAATATTTCAAGAAAATTAAAAATAAAAAAAAAGAAGGTCTAGCCGAGTAAATTGACCGTGATTGTTTATTTGCTTATACAAGAATCAAAAGAATAAATTAAATGATAAAATGACTGGAGAACCTATGGTCACGATCTTGTATGCTAAAAAAATCTACTAAGGCTCTCAAGCTCAGAACGCTTCCTGGCCACCCTTCTAAATGGCTTCCGATTTTGCCACCACAATCGATCCATTCCACCTGAACGCCGTAATTTATCATCCGAATCAGAAGCAGTCGGAATCTTTTGCCTTACACTGGCTCCTAAAATTTTCGGCCGCTTTCCTGGTTTTGTATGTTGAGGAGAGGGCGTCTTTGGTTCAACAAATTTGGTGCTTGTTAATCTGTCAAAATGGAGACGTGATAGAGAAACAATAAAAGATGTGAGGGTCAAAAGTGCGGGTCATAAAAATGAATGCCATTTAACAGAAGATTGTTACCTCGGATCATCCAACAGGGGTGACAAAGACAATTCATCTTCAGTCTGAGGTTTGCATGCAGCACAGATGTAAGACTTTGGTGAGGACACTAGTTTAACACAAGCAATGTGATACCATTCACCACACCGACTACAAGCAATCATTGATCTCTCTTCGTAGGGCTTCCGACAAATGCAATGAAGCATGCTTCGAGCCCTTAATAACTGCATCATCCCAGAAAGCAATCATTTAGCAAAAGAAAATGATAACTGTACTAATATGCACAACTCCAATTTGCAAGAGAGCACCTCAAGTTCCTTCTCCATCAAAACAGGTAGTTTTTCTCCTTCTACAATTAGTTCATAAACTTTATCCAAACCAAGGGCCCCTGAATCCGCCACAACCTGTATAGAAGCATCAATGCAATTGTGCAAAAATCAATAACCCATTACAAACTTAATTTGGACACAAATCAGAGGGGTTGAGGCAGGAGAGAGAGATCTGCCCTAGACTAGACCTTATTAGCACGATCTGCCCACTGCAAAGCAGTGTCCTCCAATTCCGTAAGTTCCTTTCTGAAGTAATCTCCAGGTAAAATGTTCAAGTCCATTCCCTACGCACACACACAAGGGGGTAAAAAAAAGATCAATAGTGAGACACCATATGATCCTGACCTTCCAATCTGGTCAGTATTAATTTTTTACCATTTCAGTAGAGCACATCTGCTAGTATTGCACTCCTAAATCTATTTGAAAATTGAAATTCCAATGCATAATCAAAAATTAATTTAGAGAGAATTGATCAAAGCCACAGAACCCAGATTTTCAAAGTGCATGTAAGGGAATCAGAAATGGGCACACAATTCAGACATTGACCTGGAACTAGAGAATTCACCAATCAATGTGCATTGAAGCCCTGACAATCTAAATTGAAACTTCTATCACAATGTGCGCAAATACCTCTTTTAGAAGCTGCTGAATCTGTTTGATTGTAGGCTTTTCTGAACTGTCTAATAAACAATTAACTCTTAATCTCCAAGAATGTCTTGCCAATGCCCGCACCAGGTTGCAATTACCTTGATCATCATATGTAATTGCCACTTCAATGGCCTGTCCAACAAAAATATTTCCATCAGAAATGATAACCATTTGTGTGTGTGAAAGAATAATACAAGCTTTCTATGCAAAATACATTAATAGCTATGATAAATTAATAGGAAACAAAATAAGCAAAAGGTACCTTCAATGCAGCAGTAAGTTTATTGGAGACAACAGTTAGATCTTTATCCAAGTAAGACATTTCAAAGTCAACTATTTCTGTCAAGTGCATTCGGCAAGCAAAAGCTTGGTCTACAAGCTGTTGTAACAGATCTTTTTCTTCAATCCTGCAACATAGATCTCTAACTATTTTTACTCCAAACATTTCCGTGTCTAAAAGCAGAAATGTTGATAAATACTAAATCCATTAAAAAAAAAAAAAGGGCCGAAAGAGGAGGGTGCTTCAGTCAATGCAAAATAGACAAAGAATATGGATTCAGTTATTTAACACTTTCTCTATTAAGGCTCAAGACAACCATTTTTGTGATTACTTTCCACCCATTTTCTCTAATGCAATAGTGCTGTGGTTAGTGTGTTCATATTATCTTCCATTTTGATAACACATTATGTGCTTAAAAAAAGCAATGCAATTACCTTACACAGAATGTTTCACCATCAGATAGAAGTTCAGTGAGCATCTTTAAAGCAGGTTGCTTGCCACTAGCCAAAAATCCACTGCCATCTTGAGGTACCAATTCACCCAAAAAGAAATGGCAAGAGGGACAATTGTGAGCTTCCACAAACTTTAATCGTAGGCACCGCAAATGATAGCTGTTCATGGAAATATTTCCACCAGGGTGCAATTAATATATAATCTAAGGTACAATCAATATAACAACAATCCCAAATATTGCCATAAAAGTGAAAAACGACATGGCAAAACTAATTAACCAAACAAATACCTTACCAATTCTTGCATGTTGAGCAAGTTAAAAACTCCAGATTCTCATAACTTGCACACAACATGCATAGGTATTTCCCTTCAGAGCCCCTCAATTTCTCATATATGTCCAAAGATTTACCTAGAGACTCCTTGATCTGCATGATATTAAGAAAGAATAAGCAATGCCATCAAAAGTTCTTGAATACAAACAGAGATCTGACATATAGATAAATATATATAAATATATATAAACCTTCTCTAAGGCTCCAGGCAGTGAGCAAACATCTCCAGCCAAAGTCCCAATAATATTAGAGCATCGTTGCTTCCATTTCTCAACCTTTTCAACTTCTGATAAAACCATATCTAGCTCTGTGCAAGTAAAGGCTACACCTTTCCCAGACTCCTGCATTTAAGTAAAAGAAATCCTTCACTTGCAATAAACAACTTTAGTCAAAACATTTTACTGGCAGTTAATCACAGCAAAGATCAGTATCTTCATCTCAAATTTCCTGATTAAGAAAAGAAATTACAATTTCCTATATACATAATCAGAAAACTCTGGTAAATAAACAGTTAATTTAATGCCCTACATGAAATTTAAGGCCAACATGGCAATAATTATTGGACACAAACAGAATTAAAAACTCAATAATGGATCCCAAGTCATAACATAATAAATGTCTGACAACAACAATGTGGAAGGAACTAAAGTTGGAATTGAAAAGGAAACAAGTAAATCTTATTTTTATTTTCAAATTAACACACACAATCACAATATAAGACCAAGTTTTAAAAATTTAGGGAAAAAAAAAAAAACCATCAAGACAGATAATTCCTAAGAAAACTTTACCGAGTGCACATGCATAGCATACCTTGAGCTCTACCATTTGAGACAAAGACCTATCCTTGAATTCCAGAGCAAAAAAATGGCACACATCTTCTTGCCATAACCTACAATTATGGTTAAACACAACCAACAGACAACTCAATGTGGTTTTTACCAGAATTTTGTACATTAACAATGCAATATCAAAGCTTTCAGAATACTAAAAGCATAGTTGAAACCATGAATTCAAACTACGTTTTTCATGCAAGAAATAAATGTAATGACTTCTGGCCCAGAGTGGAAGAATAGAAAGCTGTTAGTGCATTTGAAAGACCAACCCATGTTTCCGTATGGCATCTGTAACTTGTGCAACCATCATTGGAAAAGAGACATTAATGTCCTACATAAAAAGTAGAAGAATAAAAATAATTGGACTTCAAATGCAGGATAAATAAAATGATGAACTTCAAAGTTTTTAAGTTTTAAAGTTTTAACATGTAAAACAAAAGATAAATATAAATTTACCTTGTATTCTGCAAGAATTTCTTCAGCATCAGATAACCTGCATGTTTGACAATTTAATGGTGCAGGTATCACGTCTGAGGCTTTCCTAAGCCATTTCACGCCATAAATCAGTGAGCTCAACATAGTATGGGAGGTACACATTATAGAAAGGTGCTCTGCTACTGCCATCAACCTCTCAACATCCTATCATACCACCAAAAAACCCCATTTATCAAATGTGGCAAGAAGGAAGAATTAACTACTTAAGAAAACAGAGGAAAGAGGAGAATAGGGCTAAAAGGAAATCACTTTGAAGGAAATGAACAAAGCTGTAAGAGATGAGGTCATGCAAATCAAAAGCATAATCAAATAAGTATTCAATGATTGAAATAACACCTCACAAGATGGCTTGCCATCACAGAAAAGGAGGACTTGATTGCACCATTGCAGTGTAGAACACGCATTTTCAAGTTTTGCAATCTCATGGAAGTTGAAACCAAGAGAGAGACTAGAATTTATGACAGATTTCAGAGAGGTAACTAGCTGTTGAATTTTTGAAACAAGACCATTGCTCTTCCCATCACCAATGTCAATAGTATGATATAGGCACTCCACCTCCTGCAGTAGAGAACAGGCACCGTGCTCCCATTCCATGCATTTTTTCAAAACTATTTCAACCATACTTTTCTCCTCCAATGATATCATAAGAAACTCTGACTCAGAAACTAACTCCTGAAAAGTGTAAAATACTTGTCATTCTTGTGGGATAACAATGACAAGCAAATATACCACATTATGAAGAAAAAGCAAACCTGTAGGTCCTCAAGTTTCAGTGAGAAACAAGAGGAAGAAGCAACAGAAAGATCAGGTTCTAAAAACGGCTTAGATTTCTCTAACCAGGTCTCTGCCTTTGATACTGCATCCTTGACAATCTCTAGCGAAGGCAAAATAGTACCAATGTCTTCTGAAGTCCTACAAGATCAAACTTGGCTAAATGTAAATCATAGGAAACTAGGATGGAATTCAGCAAGTCAAGGAAAACAATGAAGGTACATCAAACCTTAAAAGATCCACAAACTCAGACATATGAGCATTGCGTGCAAGGACATCATTCGCTCTTTCCTCCCAGTGCATAGCAGCAGCAACTACTCTGGATACATCAGCAAAAGATTTCTCCCCCTCAATCCGTAGCCTATGGAAAGAAGAAAACAGAAAATCACAAGCGAGAAAAAAATCACCAAGAGCATAAGAACCTTCAGGGCCTGAAATTTGTAAAAGACATCAAGTGCAGAAAGCATACTTGACAGCCTCAACCACTAGTTGCTGAAGAAAGTCCAGTGGCATCTTAGTATTACGTGCCTGTATCAACATTTCATTTTATGACTAACTCAAACCATGCTAAGTGCAGTAATGCGACTTGATGTACAAGTGGCATGGGATAATTATAACACTAAAGGAACATTTCAAATGATGATACATAGAAGCTAACAAACTGAAGCAAAACAACTGAATTACCTTTAACGCCTTCTCTCGGCAACAAGCCTTCTCCAACTCAATCTTAATAAGTGGCATCTCATCAACTGTTCAGAAAAAGGAACCAATACCTTAATTACATAAACAAGACAACAATGGTGATTTCAAACAAATATTCTTAGAAATGACTATAACAGTGTGCAGTGCAACAGCTAGACCTTGAATTCTCAAAGTTGCACCCTCTTTTAGTATGCAATCCAGCTCATCAACAATGGTCTGTTGATCTTCCCTTTCATGAACATTCACTAGAATACTATTAAAACGGTCAATCAACCTAGAAGCATCAATATGGTATTGCTTAAGAACTGTCAACTCTGGTATATTGACATTTAATCCATCCATTCCCTGAAGAAGCACTTTAACATCCTGGATAGAATATGAGTTAAAGGTTCTTCAATCTTTGGCACTGTAGCATCCTTTTAAGGTTAGGGGGCAAAACAAAAGGAATGAACAGATTACCTTCAGAGTAATAGAACCACTCAGTAGTGATCTACAGTGAACCTGGCATGCTTCAGCCTGACTTAATAAATTCGAAAGCATTTCTGTCTCGGGAACTTCAACCAGAAGCTCCAATATCTATCCACCATAATAATGAAAAATTACTAAAAAAATATATAAAAACATGACAACCCGGAATAATTAAGTAAAGAAATCCAAATACCTCTGATCTCAACTGGTAAAGAAAATCAATGTCAATTGCCACAGAAGATTTGTCCAACAAGTGTTTTATTGCACATTCTTTCCATGCCTGAAGCTCATAAAGCATAAGTTTAATGAACAGTTTATAACAAAGAGCAGAAACTTTGTCATCCATAAAACTATCCTAACAATAATAGAAAGCTGAACCTGAAATGTGAATATGTGAAAAAGATATACCTTTGCTGAAGAAAGTTTTTTAGATAACTTCTCTGACTGCTTCAAATGGATAGGTAAGCTATGTGCTTTGGAATACAATAATTCCAACTCGTTGATCTAGGGTGAAAGGAATAACAATAACAGCAAAGATAAAGGGAGTTAAAACAAACATCATGCTCTACAATACTGTGTTCAAAAATCGAAAGAAGTTAAATGTAAACCTTAGCCTAGTGACTGAAATAAGCTTTCAGAGCATGTCTAGATTACCTTGGAGGATGTTGACAGTGCAGCCTCAATTTCCCGATCCAACAACCTAGCTTCTTCTACAAAATCCTGAATAAAAGGGCAACAGCATTTGACAAAAGAAAAGGTTGAACGACACCAATTGAAAACAAAGGCAAAGTGTAGAATACAATCACCAAACCATGCATACCTTCAGCTTTAGATGCTCAGACTCATTACAGGGCCAAGGATCAACACTAAGCAATTTATCAACATAATCCAGATGCACTTTCTCACCAGGATTATTTGTCTGGTTTTCAACTTTAGAAAGGCAATCTCTTATCCCCTTTGCCCATTTCTGAGCTTCAATCAAATTATTTACTGCATCCCGAACCTTTTTCCATAACAGAAACAAATAATTTATAGGTTAGCTATTTTATCTCAATGACAAGAATGAAACAGAATAAGAATGAAACAGAGTAATCTCATAGCTTACTTGATCCATCTCTGTACCAGCCCAAAGAAACTGTTCAGATTGTTTCAACAGAGTAGCATATGCATGACCAGAATATGGACTCTGCAAAACCTTACGTGACCGGACAAGCCACCGTCCTGCAAGTTGAGCATATGTAATACTTGTGCCTTTCACCTATACATGTTAGTTCAACTTAAGTGAGAACTCCCATATCATTAAGCCCAGGTACCACCTAAGTAAACTCCATAAAATGTAGAGTACAGCATCATTTCAGTAAAAATAATACAACCTTTTTAGACAAAGAACTTGTCTTATTGAGACCTGAGACTTGTCTTCTTGAACTATCACTTCGTGGTGCCTCTTCAGAATCTTCTATATCCACTTTGAGCACCAGATCATACAATTCTGCCAAATTATGACGATAGAGGAGACGATGCTTCCTTGATTGACACTCACAAAGGTGCTCCCAGTGCTGTATGATGGATAAATGCAATCCAGAAGAATAGAATCAATACAATAGAAGATTTACCAACTAGGGATGAATTTTGATGACCTCTAGCTATGGACCCTCTAAAGGATTGTTAGGCAAGAGGGCTATATAATTTTTTTTTTAAATGCTACGTGGAAAGAAATGCTCAAATTTCAAAATGCAGGAAAAAGAATTGCAAAAAAAAAAAAAAAACCTTAAATTGGCTAGCAGTGGCTGGATGAAAGAATTTTAGTACTTAAGTTCCAATCAACTAATACTAGAAATAATTCTCACAAATTCAATAGTTCCAAAACAAATTTATTGAAAATTAAAGCTTTGGATTATTCAATATTCAGAACATTTTAGGAACAATTCACGTCTGTGGAAAAAAAATTAAATGCATCTGAAAAATCATAATCAAAAAATTAGTTTAGTAAGTGTTTAATTCACGAATTATCAAACTTCCAGTTACCTCCAGGCACACAAACTCTAATGGCCTACAGCGACAGACAACAGCAGAGAGATATAGATACTGCTTGCATATAATGCATGTTCGATCCTACAAAAGCAACAGGGAGATATTAATCACTTGTCATTTTATAATCAAAGCAATGGCAATGAGAAAATAGTAAACAATTACCTCTTCAGTATCAGAACCCACATATTCTGAAGACTTCTTAGGTGGCATGGGGGAAGATCTTATCATGCCACATTTCCAAAGCTTCTCTCTCCAGCTTCTTTCCTTGGTATACATCCTAAGTAACTCTTTCCTCAAGTAAGATGATGCTTTGCTATCCCAATCACTCTAGTAAGGGGGGAAAAAAACAAATCAACAATGCAACAAAATATTAGTGCTATGTCCTTAATCAAATAAAAAGTTCAAATATAGAATTTCCACATTTCAACATAGATCAAGACAGAGGTTCCTTTCCTAGCGTGAAATGAGGTATCCCCCCAGCAATTGTCAATAAAGAGTCTAAAATTCCAATAATTTTATTATAGCCAACCAGGAACAAAAAGTGCAAAACCACTACCGCTTTAAGCAATAACAAAGTTGCAGTTTCATATCATTACAAAGCCAAACATTCAACTATAGTGATTAGGCATTTTAGGAATTATTTTTAACACCATTTCAAAAGTAGTTTTTTAAATCATTTAAACCAGTGTTTGATAAACTATCATATTATTGTTGGTTGCTGGTCTTTGGTATTCCCTTTTGCTAGAAATCATCTTAGCTTAAATTCATCTTTAAACAGTTTGCCTGTCTGGCATTTCAATCAAACTTAGAATCTATGGGGAAAATCCTTCCATGATGGGTGCACACGCTTGTGTAATTCCTTGTCACTGTTAGATCATCTCATTTCAATGTCTTATTCATTACATAAAGAAAAGAAGAAAAAAAAAATGACCCAAATCTTGAGCTACCTTCGTCTAGCAGGCTTTCTTACTGTCCTTCATATAACTAGCAGAATATATGGCGAAAAATTAAATAACTAAAGAACTAGCACAACATAAGATTTTGAGAATTAGACCATAGGCAAAGTTCAGAATAAATTAGTGGTAATCTCATAGACCTAGTGGTTATCATCATATGTTAATCAGAATATGAAACTGTGCATTTTAATGATAGTTTTACTAAATAAAATAAACATATATCAAGACTTACTAACCTTGGCTACCACACAAAGAAGCTCCTCATGAGACAACACAGCAGCCTTGCGATAGAGTTTATACAGCTCAGCTCCAGACCCACCATGAGGTAGCCAATCAGCTGGAGCAAAATTGACAGCCTCTGCGCAGTTTAAACCTGAAGAAAGGGAACATGCATGCTGCAATGATTCTTGTGTCTGTAGCACACTAAAACCTATTCTTTAATTAATATTACTAACTTTTAAAATTGTCCCAGCTTACCGAAGTTGAATCCTCCATGATATGATCTGGGGAATGTGATGACAAAATTTCCAGGCTCCTGAAAGAAGGCAAACATGAGACAACCATATAAAAGGAAGTTCAGTAAATGGATGCAACATATCAGATACATATCCATAGGATAGTTTATTTGTGGCAAAGTGACATTCTACCCCAGCATACTCAGTTCTAAACCCTCAGGCCACTACCTAAGAATTAATAAACTCAAGCCAACATACTTAAGAACAATCAGTTAAAAATTCTGCTGGCAAGAGAAAGAAATATCAAACATTTTCTACTTCTATTTGACCCTTTAAAAACATTTAACAGTGTGCAATTAAGAAAAATGTAAGGCGCATGGCCTTGCATATCACACCTGCAGTACACTGTAAACTGGAACACCATTTTCCCGCAAGACAGATGGATTTAACATGGTGACAAGCTGGAAGAGCAAATCTGGTTGTGAATCAAAAAGATCAGGAAGACAGCTCCGCATCACCTATAGAAAAGAGAATGTGTCATATGCATCCAAGTCTCATAATTCAAACAATATCCATCCACATGTATCAGTGTTAAACAAATCTAAATTTGAATAAATTATAAATGGACAAAGTGTAAAAGTACTAAAAAATACTACCTCCTCAAAAGCACTGGCTTCGCTACCAGGAACACTGTACCAACATTTTGGTTCTCCCCTACGAAGAAAGGCCAGACACCATCAAACTTAAGATAAAATCAATTAAAAAACTTGATAATGATGATACAAAAGAACCAAAGAATCACTTATCAAAGAAACCATTAAGAAAATAGAAAACTTGTTCAACGAAAATTATTGAATGACTATTTAACAATTGACCTGATCACTATTTTTTTAATCAAAAGCATCAAACCTTTGTGAATGAATTTTAACCATCAGTAACAAATTAATTATATTTTTAGTCTAATATGCAACTCCTTCGTTCTAGAATTTTCCCTGGGTATAAGTTATCTCAGCTGCCAGTAAGAACAGAAAGTCTTTGCTAATCTAAACAAATACGTGCTTACTACCCATGAAACTGCAGAAGTTTGTCAACCTGAAGACTTAAATAAAAGAAATGCAGTTTATCAAACAATAAGAAATCAAGAAATAAGAAAAAAAAATAGCATAAGATATCAAAACAAACATACCAGTGCAGGTAATTCATTGAGTAAAAGCAATGATCTTCAAAATGCCAGCAGAAAGCTGAGAATAGCATCCCAATATACAGCCAGGGAACCATCACACCAGTAATATTATGATTAACAACACGAAGCATTGAACCTTTCAACTTGGGCAAGTTGTTGAGATTCCATGGGTTACTGCAATATTCTTCCCACAACTTAGCCTCAATAGACTCTGGTCTCTGGTCATTTAAACGAGGAAAACCACTTCCATAGACAGAGGTATCCAGGTCACTGCCATACATAACTTCAACCTCACCTGCTGATCCTTCCACAATTTCCCAAAATTTTTTTTCCATTTGTACCCTCGACGCAGGCCTTGAACCAAACCATTTCCTCTTGGCTCGATCAGCCACACGCCTAAATGCTTCCAGAGAATACTGTTTGCCAGGAACAAAACCAAAACTATCCTTATCAGAATTTAAGCACTCTAAGCAATACCAGTTCCCTGGTGGAACCTGCTTCAATGGCGGTGATAGACAATAAATGTGCCATCCTTTATTGCATCTATCACACAAAAGCATTACTTCCCCATGCAAGCCACTTTCACATTGTTCACATATTTGATCATGCTCATCCTCCTTCTCCTCCATCTTACAAAGATAAGCTTTATTACCATACCCATTCTTTCGTCTCCTCTTGGAGCTCATCAACTGAACCTCATCTCTCTTTACATCCTCATGACTCCTTCTCTTGCAACTCTTAACCCTGTCTCTGTTCAGCCGGTTATAATAGCACTCATAATCACATAGGTGATCTCTATACAACCCGCACAAAACATGCTTGGCACACTCCGAAACCTTCCGTCCTGCCCTCACAAACTTGAAAACTTCCCCCCATTTCTTATCCTTCACAACCTTATCATAACCCCCAAACCTCCTTGCACCATTAAACAATTTACATAGATCCAACTCCTCTCCTTCAAAAACAACCTTCTTCGTTAACTTCTTGCCACAATGTCCCTCTAAGAACCTACTGTACTCCAACTCAAAAGTCTTGGAATCACAAGACGCAGGACGCGCCTGCAGTTGGTGAATCGCCTGTGTTTTCGTGGGAAACGTAAAAGAATCCGAGTTCAATGCAAATGGAGGGCTCCAACCCTTAGGTGGAACAATCTTACAAATTCCATAAGGCTCAGCCTGAGGTCTAATCTTATATATATACTCTAATGGGTCTCTAAATTCCTCTTCAGTAGGGTGAAAAACAGGCCCCTCCGGTATAATAATCGATCCACTACACGACACACCCAAGCTTTGCCCTGTTTGAACTGCTCTAGGTCTCCCCTTCCCCATCGCCACTACCATCACCAAACCTACACATATAATCTATTCCTCTCCCTCATACACCACACCCACACAATCGTAAATACGCAGACAAATACAGCAATATTCCTCTCAGTTCAGATAATAAACAGTGCAGAAACGAAAGCAGAACAAATTCTAGGGTTTCTAAGCGTACCTGCAGAGGAGGATGCCGAGGGTTACTTTCTATGGAGCAAAGACTGCGTTTCGCGGAAGATTGGTTTTAAAGAGAGTGGAAGATGTTATAGGTATCAGAGTAGATGTGTTATTACCATAATAGGTCTAAAAATGGCAAATTTTACGAAATTAGTACTGTTGTTCTGTGCTATTATTGGAGTGTGCGGATCTTTCCGTCCTTTTTGAGCAAAAACCCTAATTAAGCCCCTTAACTTACCCCAAAAAATCATTTAAGCCTTTAAACTAAAAATGAAACAAATTAGCCCTCCAACTCCACTAATAATGCAAATAAACATTTCTTACAAACCGGTTAAACAGTTTTTCATGTTTAATATCACCTTGAAAACATGAACATCCATAAATAAGAAGGGCTTATTTGCATCATTAGTGGAGTTGAAGGGCTTGTCTGCTTTATTTTTAGTTTAGGGTCTTATATGTTATTTTGGGGTAAGTTTGAGGGCTTAAGAAGGGTTTTTGCGGTCGTTTTTGCGTATGGTATCTTGAATCTTCGCACGCGTGTGTTGAACGTCCACGCGCGATAGACGAGGGAGGAAATGGACGGATGAGATTGCTTTTGAGAGAGCTGATTGGAAACAAGATTTCTTGTTTCTTGTAGACCGTCTATAATGGCGCGTGGATGCGTGGGTTTTGGGTTCTGTGTACACGTGTCAGATTGCGAGGGATTGGAATGTTGACGTTGACTTTAATGAACGGATAGGATTGCTTGCACGTGGTGGAAGGAAAATAAGAGTAGATATTTTTTTATAAAATGCACGAGTATAGAATTTTCAAATTAACAGTTAATTAAATCTTAACTGTTTATCCAAACAAAACTTGTCCTTTTCAATTGGAGCCGTCTTTGAATAAACTCAATGATTTTTATTTATTAAGGTCATTTTGGGTGTTTTGATAAAATATATTGTACTTTTTTGTGTAGTCTAAATTTTTAAAAAAATCCCTTATATAAATTATATCAGCAATTTAGATTATTTTTTTAAAATAGTTAATAACTTATAGCTAATATCTAACAATTGATAATTGTTAATACTTGTAAGTGCGGTAATATAAAGATAATTTTTTATTATTTTTATATATAATTTTTACATATTATTAAATGTATTAATGTATTTAATATTATATATCTTAAATAAATAAAAAGAATTAATTATTTCAATGATATGTGAAATTATAAAAAAATAATACCAAAAAAATTATCTTTAAATTATTTTTATATTTATAACTTGAAATATTTAACGTATTTAATTAATTAAAACTAAAAACTAATAATTATTTTAATAAATCAAAACCTACCGTAGTTAAAAAATAAAAATAAAAACCTTGTTCAATGTGTGTAGTCCAGATCCTTGCAGAGGAGAGAATAGGAGGCCTGGTTCATGAAATGTTAAGAGAGTTTTTTTTTTTTTTTTTTTTTAAGTGCCAAATGCCAAGAAATGTAAGACAAGAGATTAGGAAAATGAGATACAAAGTAATTTCCCATAACTGAATGTTGTTTTGAAGCTTCTCCTGCGCTTAACCGCATTAGAATAGAGTGGAAAAAAACAAAAACATTGTTAATGAATTTTCATGCATCTGTATTCAATTAAAGGCAATTTAATCTTTTTAAGCTTAAATTGATATACCAATAACTTAAATTAATCAGTAATAATTTATTAAGTTTCTTCTAGTAAAAACAAAATGTTATGAGTTTTAATTAGGCTTAATTCAAATTTTAGTCTATTAACTACAAACTTAATTTCATTTTAGTCTAAAAAGTTTATTTTCTTTCTAAATGATCTATAAACTTTGAAAATATTTCAAAATATTTCATCCATACAAAATTATGTTAGATTTAATGGAAAGAATAATCATTTAAGTTTTGAAAAAAGTGACACTATAATTCTAATAAAAATGATGATTCTTGAAATATTTTATAAAGATAAATTAGTTAAAATTTGTAATAAATTTAAGCAACTAATCTATTTTATAGGACATATTGTATACAATCTGTCCTGAAAATTTATTTAAATATTTCTGAAAAAATAATATAAAATTAAAATTAAGGACATTTAAATAATTTTACATGATAAACTACATACAATTTGCTCTGTAAAATAGTTTTTTGAAAAACACATTTAGTAAGATAAGATTAAAAACTATTTTTGGTGTGAATATAAATTTACGGACTAAAAGATCAAAAGAAATATAGTTAGAGGATTAAATATTTTCTTATAGAATAAGAAGATTCCGTTAAAGATAACAGACATTTCCGTTAAAGATAACAGACATTTCCGTTAAAGATAACGAATGAAATGAAATTGAAATAAATGTGAAAGATAATAGACAAGATTGAAAGAATTAAAAGTAATAAATAAAATTGAAAGAAATATAAATGTTAATAGATGATTTGTTAAATTAACTCATTCTAATTATATAATATGGAAGTGAGTTGAATTAAAGATAAAAATATGTTTTTTTAATTACCAAAAAAATGGTGTTTTTAAATGTAAGGCAAACCACAAAAACACCTTTATGTTCATATAATTAAATCTACTTATAATATTAGTATATATCAATAATTTATGTTTCGTTAATTGATATATATCTAGTCCATCTGTGTGGGAAGCAACTCCACAAAATGACAACGAAGTCAGTACCCATGGTAGTAACATTTTTCTCTTAAAAGTAATTGTCTGATGCTCCGATTGTCATAGCATTTTTTTTTTTTTGACAAAAGGAAATGATTAGATTATATATTAATATTTGTTACTGTTAGAAAAGATTAAATTTTGGAGTTGGGTGCATTCCACTTATTACTTAATGGGCAGTGTGGTCACCACTAGAGCACATGAAGGATTGCACTTATGAAGAGTTATGTGCAACTAAAATCAATTGATAGTAACATCTTGACTGTATATTTTTTATATGAAATGCTTTTCTTATTTTATTTTCAAATATAATTTAGGTAGACATCAATTAATGTATAAATGAGAATCAAGTTTTAGCATATCATATATTTTAAACCAAACAAGAAAAAACAATAAATTGAACTAAATTTCACTCTAACAATAGTTGAACCTGAAACTAAAGTCCCACATGGCATCATCAGTCTTGTGCCTGTCTTCTTGACATCACCTTAGTTGGATTCATTATTTATGTCAAAACTTGCATAAAACTTGGGTGTGTTATGGCCATACACCACAAATGTTAATATTAATGTTACTCAATTTTATTTTATTTAATTATTAAAAATAATTGATAATTAATATTTATTATTTAAAATATTAAAATCAATTTATAAATTTATATTTTCAAATATCATAACTAACTTTTAAGAAAAAAAAAAGTTAGTCTTTTTAGTGTTTTTTAGTTATCATAGTCTCTCACCTTTAAATTAACTTAATGATTTTATATGGTAAATAAATGATAATTGATATTTTTTTTTTATCTAAGTCAAAATTCTCAATAGAAACTATGTAAAGAAATAAAAAAACAATTATTATCAATTTATTATATAAAATCATCCTATCCAACTTTATGTAAAATTCAAGTTGAGACAACTAAATCTAATAAGAAAGAGTAAAAACTAAAAAAATATCAATTAAATGAAATAATTTTTATGTAATATTAACAAAATAATAAGTAATTATAACTATACCACAAAACTTATTATGATAAACCACTACTTGCCTTTCTCACCAAACTCAATTACTAAAGATCAAATCAAATGAACATTTGATTTGTGACATGCCATGTTTAGTACACCTTAATTAAACTCCATTACCCATCATTAATTCCGAAGTGATTAACCAATTATCTTAATCAAAGTCAATGGTTTTTGGGGCATAATAATGAATGTGTTTAAAAAAACAAGAACACCCAACAAAAAATTTAGAGCATCATTTGGAGATGGAGAAGATGAGTTTGGTACCTAATGGGCCCTTGAGGTTGGAATGTATGTCATTTTCAGAATTGAATGCTCCTAACGACAATCAAGAAAATAGTTAAGTAAGTCAAAGAGCATGGTCGGTTCTCCAACTCTTCATAGAACTATTGTACAATATCAATGTTATGTGTATTGTCCAATGTAATAAAGTCAATGGAATTATTTGTTTTTATGGATTACCTGCAGAAAAATGGAATCACATCTCTTTGCCCTTGACACTTGTTTATCAAGCATAATTTGAATTCATATAGCGCCTAACTTTTGAGAAATTAATAAGTGAAATTATCACCAATCAATTAGGTGATTGAGACATGATTGCATTTGAACCTGAACCAAATATCCAAAAAGTTAAAGACGCCACTTAGGGTTGTATACTAGATATTCAAAAGTAAAGTAAAATAATGAATATTTATTTTCTCTTCTTTGTTTTTCAATATCTCATTTAAAAGATGGTGTTTTTCTTTTATTTTGGGGTTTGACTATAAGCTCCCAAACATAAATTTTTGAAATCTCAAATAAGATGATGTTTGACAAAGTTAAAAAGGTAACCAACATAAAAGGTAAATTTGTCGTCCACAAATTTAAAAATTATTAAAAGAAAGTATAAAAATAAGCTCTTAAGTTAATTTTTAAATGAATTTAAAAAGGACAAAATATCTACACTTTCTCAAAATTCATTAGAAAACTATTTTAAAAGTCAATGCTTAAATTTTCTCTTAATAAAATTTTAATTTTGCTGAGAGAAAACTTTAGTTTTAAATCAAGTGCCTTTTACACTTTATCAAGCATCATTTAAATAAAATTTCATCATGTTATCGTTGTTGTTTGTTTGTTTGTTTTTTTTTTTTTAACATTTAATATCCAATACTATATATATAGTAATTGAGATCTATAAACATACTTCAATTATTTGATATAACCTTAAAAGAAAATCGACATTTCTACAACATTTGATATTTTGACAATAAAGTAATTATCAACTTCTTTTTATGGGAAGAAGTAATCAACTACTTTGTTTTAAATAGAAATGAATAACAAAAACAAACAACCACTTCCATTGCCTAATTTAAGGTTAATCTAAAACAGATTCATGGAAGGTTCCATTGATCTCAACTGATGCTCATGCTTTCGGACAAAATCATTAGGAAATTTAAAACACTTTAGATGGTGACAAATCAACTTAACTAGATTCCGGCAGTTCAATTGTTCTCTATCACCAGTTAATGGCAAACTGCCTGAAATTAAAAACATATTATGCCGATAAAAATGACAACAATTAAATATATTCCAAGTGAAGAAGAAATTAAATGACTAACAAATGAAATATACAATACATTCGAAATTTTTTCCAAGAGATTACAAACATTTATTTTCTAAAAAAATATCAGCTTCTAACGTTACAATATTTAGAGAAAACCAAAAAGAGAGAGAGAGAGAGAGAGAGAGAGGAAGAAATAGAAGAAACAAAAAATAACAAAAAAAAACCTTTTTTTTTTCTTGTATCAATGCTTAATTAATCCGTTCATTTTCTAATAAATTTAATTTATTTTTTTGACTTTTTGAATATAAATTTTAAATGAAAATTTAACAACTTATATAGATAATAATTAAAAACATTTATCTTTACATATGAAATTTTGTATAGTACTTTAATTTGATAAAAAAAATTAATTATCATTTATATAATATGTAAATTTTTATTTGAAATCTATAATTAAAATGTTAAAAAATCAAATTAAATCTATCAAAAATAAAAAAAAATACATATCAATATTCACTCGTCCTAATTTTAAATTACGTCATTTTATTTAATAAAAATTTAATTTAAAATTTAAAAAATTATCTTATTAAATATTAATATTAATATTTAAATACTGATTAGATTTTGAATATTGAATTAGAATTTTAGCTTCTAAATGCATGTTAAAATTTTAATTTTTATGACAATTGAAACTAATTTGTATTAATCTCTAAAAAAATAACTGAAGAGAGTAATTTAATGTTTTATTTTTGAAAGGAGATTCGGCCAACATATTGATTATATTATCCTGGCTATCCAGATAACCCCCATCCCTGGTTCATCTTCGTCTAGTCCCAAATGTAAATTATCTAGACATATATTTCTAAAAAAATATTGATATGTTAATTAAATTTAGTTTTAAATAAATTTTTTGGCCTTAGAGCATAATAGTATATTTTTTAAAAAATAACTCAGAAGAGACAAAGTTTATGGAATCGATTATGGGCAAGGTGAAAAAAATAGGGAAAAATAAGAGTTATGTCGGTGGAAACAGTGAAAAGAAAAAAAAAAAGGAGGATAAATCTTTTATATTTTATCCCCCATTTTTATAAAGATTATCTTAAGGTTAGTCACTACTAAAAAGGAGCTAAAAAGGTTTATCACTCTTTTAATACCTTTTTTTTTTTTTTTAAAATTTTGAGTTGAACAGTCATTTTATGAATTTAAATTTTTTATTTTTATTAAAAAATTATTAATGTGTTTGTACACCAATATTATTCAATTAAATATTAATATTTTTATTTAAAAAAATTAACTTAAAAATTTTAAATATGTTTATCTTAAAAAATTTACTACTAATACCCTTTTATTATTGTTAAAAGATATATTAAAAAGAAATTCATATTTTACGTTAGATTACACATTAAACATATAATTTAATTTATAAAATATTTTTATTAAAAAATTGATTTAATTAAAATTTCAAATCTTATATTAAAAATTTAAGGACGAGTAGAGAATATTATTTACATTTGAGAAAAAAAAAAAAGAAGAGCTTTCATTTTACATAATATTTATACTAATGTAAATCAAAATTAAGAATTTAAAAAAATTAAAAATTTTAATAATTAAAGTGTCATAAATTATAATAAAATTAAATACTCTTAATAAATTTATAAAAAATTTTAATAAAAAGTCTTTATATTTAAAATAGGTCCTTATTTTCCCTTTTTTAATACTAGCATATATTACTACTACAGCACTATTTTTTTAAAAAAAAAATATTTATTGTATTTATTTTCCGACAATATTTTTGCAGTTGTTTATTTTGTATTTATACATTAAATCCGAATCTCAAGGTTGCCTGAAAATTCTCATTTGCAGAGGAAAGCTCAGGGAAAGGAAGAACAGCGGAAGAAGATCCCTGATTCTCAGACTCTCTCTTGCTTTCAGTGTACACTTTCCATTTCTACTTCCAAAATTCAGAGAAAGCAAGAAAACGAGGGAAGGAGGAGGATGAAAAAAATGAAAAAACAGAGAAAGACCCAGCTTCTTCACTTTTCATGACGAATTCGAAAAATTGGTGTTGGCTCATTCAGGTTCGTAGTTTTTTTAGCTTGTTCTTGGTTACTCTGTCCTCCTTTTTGCTTCTTTGATTTGATTCACTGGTTTGTTTTGAGTTTAACACCTGAATTTGCAGGGAAGCTATAAGGTGTTGCCGAGCTCTCCTTGGACCTTGACTATATGGTAGTGGGTTGACTCCGGAGGAGGGTCGCTGCTGAAGGTAATTCTGCAATATAGCTTTATGCTTCATTTTTGCCTTTTAGTTCTTGTTTGGTTGCCGAGAAAGTTTTGGGAAAAAAGGGGGTTTTCTCTTTAGTAGTGCTATTTTATTTCGTTAGTAAATAAAGTATAATTAGCTGAAAATAGAGGGCATGATTCTTTTTAAGTTTAATTGGATTCTGGGTTTTGGTTTTATTGGGGGATCAAATGATGGGACATCTAAGGTTCTTATTGTTGGCTTCTTTTATAGCTTACTGGGTATTTTCAAGTGGAATACTTGAATCCTTTTGTAATTTTTACAGGTAAATTGGAGTTTGGTTTCTAAATATATAGTTGATATGGGTATCTTGAGATTTGCTGCTTGTTTTGAAGCTCGTGGGAAATTACTTGATGATGAAGCTTGTTTGTTAGGCTGAGAGGCCTTTTTGAGCTTCACCAAAGTTTGCAGTTGGAGCTAGAAAGATTTACCACTCGTAGAGGAGTTGATTTCATTACTGACATGGGCTGTGAGTGTTCTAAGTTAACAGCCTGTTGTTGGAGCACAGATCAAAACAAATCTATTCCTGAGGCCCGTGATGCTGGTAAGTGTTTCTGTCAGAGTTCATTTGTTCTTGATTCTGCTTGTGGGACATTGGTTTTGAAAATTTCAGCACATTGTTTGTAGAAAATGAGGAGAAGAGCGAGGTTGATGACTTGCCTCTGTTCTGCGAATACTCTATAGACGCACTGAGGATGGCTACATCCGGGTTTTCTGTAGAGAACATTGTTTCTGAACATGGAGAAAAGGCTCCAAATGTGGTATACAAGGGGAAGTTAGAAAATCAAAAGCAGATTGCTGTTAAGAAATTTAATAGATCTGCATGGCCGGATGCCCGACAGTTCTTGGTATGTCCATGCCAGCGGCGTAGCATTTTTCTTTACATTTTTTAGTTGGTGGTCACTACATGTTCCTCTTATTCGCCCCAAATATCCCAAACCCATTGGCAAAGGGGAAAAAATTATGCCCCAATTTGCCATAAAACCTATTTGAGTTTGATTATTTTAATGACTGTTACATGGTAGTATTCCTTGACTTTAAAGTATTAATTTTACTACATTTTTAACTTCAATTTTCTAACTTTAGGAAGAAGCAAAAGCTGTTGGTCAGCTTCGGAACAACAGATTGGCAAACTTACTTGGTTGTTGCTGTGAAGGTGAGGAGAGGTTGCTTGTTGCAGAATTTATGCCCAATGACACATTGGCCAAGCACCTATTTCATTGTGAGTTCATCTTGGGTTTCCTCTCATCTTGATTTTCATTATTTGAAATGCACACTCTACACTGTTGGATGAAAACCTAAACTCCATCAATATCAGTCATAATATAGTTTTTCTAGCTGTCATGGGTTTGGCTTTGAGCTGACTTCATAGGCCTGTTAGTTTTCAATTCCAGATGCCATTTAGTCCCTGTTTCCCTTCTTTCTGTCCTGCTGGATTCATGGTATGAGACAGGATTGAGATATACTTTTGTTATCTTAATTTTTGAGTTTTTAGGGGAAACACAGCCAATGCAATGGGCAATGCGACTACGGGTAGCTTTGCATATTGCACAGGCTCTGGAATACTGTACCAGCAAAGGACGTGCACTTTATCATGATCTTAATGCATATAGAATTGTTTTTGATGATGTAAGCTCACTTTTTAACTTTTAACTTCTTGATCTCTTCATTGTTGGGAATTATTGTTAATTTCATGACTGTACACTTTTCATTTTCAGGAGGCCAATCCCAGACTTTCATGCTTTGGTCTTATGAAGAACAGCAGAGATGGAAAAAGTTATAGTACAAACCTGGCCTTTACTCCGCCTGAGTATCTGAGGACAGGTGCTTACCTCTTGAAAAGGCAATACATTTGTCTAGCATACACCATTCTATATTTACTAATTACCTACCGGAGTTATTGAATTTGTGAACTTAATTTTTATCCTTTCAGTATTGTTTTGCCAAGCTTCACAATCTGCAACCCATTTTTCCGATGTTGTATTCTTAGGAAATACTGTGCAAAACTATTTTGTATTATGATTCTTCTCTGAAGTTGTATTTAATTGCATTGAGTTGAGAGTGCTAGTTAACCTTTATTGATGTGATAAATTTTTTGTTCTTGATCCTCACCTTTGTGGTTATTGTTTCCATCAATTTTATTGGTACAGTGTGTACATCCAATTTCATGTAATTATTTATGTATTAAATTAATTGTGTCCTTGTAGGAAGGGTAACATCAGAAAGTGTAATATATGGTTTTGGCACCCTTCTGCTTGATCTTATCAGTGGAAAACATATTCCTCCAAGCCATGTAAGTTAAAAAGACCTAATTAGTGCAGGCAAACTTTCTGCAGTCTATCTTCCATCTGTTCTTTTGCATGCTTGGTTTTCCTTAACATCTGACAATACTGCTGTACATCTAACATGGAATCCATTCATTCAGGCGGTGGACCTTATACGTGACAGGAATATTCAGATGCTAACAGACTCTTGTTTGGAAGGCCAATTTTCAAATAATGATGGGACTGAGTTAGTGCGTTTAGCGTCACGTTGTTTGGAATATGAACCTCGAGAGCGACCAAATTCAAAGTCATTGGTTGCTGCACTAATTCCTCTACAGAGGGACAGTGAGGTGGCTTGTCTTTTATTTCTCAAATAACTGCTCATATATGACTTAAGCTATTTGCTTTTCATTAAAACAGGCACTGCGTGCATGAATAATACTTTTTCACTTACATGAATGAGCTTCGCTAATTTGTCTGGCAGGTTCCTTCTCACGTATTAATGGGCATACAGAATCCCTCTGCAGCCTTACCCTTATCCCCACTTGGCGAGGCCTGCTTAAGAATGGATTTGACTGCCGTACATGAGATCCTAGAAAAGATTGGCTATAAGGATGATGAAGGTGCAGCTACAGAGGTTTGTTTCTCATATGTCTTAAAAATAAATACTTTCCTACACATCATCTGGAAAGCAATACTATATGATATATATTTATTTTTTCAAATGCAGCTTTCTTTCCAGATGTGGACCAACCAAATGCAGGAAACTCTAAATTCTAAGAAAAAGGGTGATGCTGCTTTTAGGCACAAGGATTTCAGAGCTGCCATTGAATGTTATACCCAGGTTAGATTAAAGGTGTAAATGTCACTGGGTTTTGAGAATTCTTCCAGGGATAAACTGACAGTTTATACATACATGTTGCAGTTCATTGATGTTGGGACCATGGTTTCGCCAACTGTATATGCTCGTCGAAGTCTATCTTACCTCATCAGTGACATGCCACAGGAAGCCATAAATGATGCTATGCAAGCTCAGGTGATATCTCCTGTCTGGCATATTGCATTTTATTTACAAGCTGCCGCTCTTTCAGCACTAGGAAAGGACAATGAGGCACAAGCAACTCTCAGGGATGGTTCTATGCTTGAAAGTAAAAGAAATGGTACTGCATGAAAATTGGAATCCCTCTTTTATCTTTCATGGCAACTAGAAGGATGACTATCAATTGGCAAAATCAAACTTTCCAAGGGCTAAAAGACCCCCTTGGGGTGGAATGGATCCATAAAATTCAAATCTTCTTCAAACATTTGTTTCCAACATTATTGGCTGTGGGTTTGTTTTGGTCAGTTTGATAGGGGTATTGGGACAAAATTCTATTCATTTAAAAAACCATCCTCCCTTCATCTTTTGACACAACCATTGTAATAATTAAGGAAAAGAACTATATGTTTGTAGAGGAGTCTCAACGTCGTTTAAAGTTACATTTAAAGGGTGAATAGAAGATGTTGCCGTGCTTGTAATTTATGTACAGTGTTTTCATCCCTGGATAAGAAACCCTGTTAATGACTTCTGTCTGTCGTTTATTTCTTTCAATGGATTTTATTGCTCTCCCATGGATAATTACAAATAGACACTTTTTTACAGTTATGGAAATTACAATGCAAATTTACATCCAGACAATCACAATCACAAATTCACATTACAGAGAACACCAAAGCTTCAGCATATCTGAATCAGGGCCTCCTTATTGAACATCAAAAAGGTCAAAAATCACACTTAACCATACATTTTTCCGGCGACGGACATAGCCAAAATTCATTCAAAATCCACTCAAAATGTTACGCGGCTTCCTCCTCGTACTCTTCGTCACCCTCTGCAGCAGCCTCCTGGTACTGCTGATACTCGGAAACCAAATCATTCATGTTACTCTCTGCCTCTGTAAACTCCATCTCATCCATCCCCTCTCCGGTGTACCAATGTAAAAACGCTTTCCTCCTAAACATGACCGTGAACTGCTCCGACACCCGCCTGAACATCTCTTGGATGGACGTGGAGTTCCCCATGAAAGTGGAAGACATTGATAACCCGGTTGGGGGAATATCACAAACACTTGATTTCACATTGTTTGGGATCCACTCAACGAAATAAGAAGAGTTTTTGTTCTGTACTTTGATCATCTGTTCGTCCACTTCCTTGGTGCTCATCTTGCCTCGGAACAGAGCTGAGGCTGTCAAGTACCTCCCATGGCGAGGATCGGCAGCGCACATCATGTTCTTGGCGTCCCACATCTGTTGGGTGAGCTCGGGGATGGTCAAGGCACGGTACTGTTGGGAACCACGCGACGTCAAGGGCGCAAAACCGACCATGAAGAAATGCAGGCGGGGGAATGGGATCAAATTGACTGCTAGTTTCCGGAGATCGGAGTTGAGTTGGCCGGGGAAGCGGAGGCAGCATGTTACTCCACTCATGGTTGTTGAAATCAAGTGGTTTAGATCACCAACTGGCTCAAATTTATGTACAAACAGTCAGAAAGAAAACAAAATCAAAATCAAACGCTGGATTTGTTAACAGTATACTCAACTTACAGCTGGGATTTGTGAGCTTGAGAGTTCTGAAGCAGATATCGTATAGGGCTTCATTGTCAAGGACCATGCACTCGTCGGCGTTTTCGACTAGCTGGTGGACGGAGAGGGTGGCGTTGTAGGGTTCAACCACCGTATCCGAGACCTTGGGAGAGGGGAAAACAGAGAAAGTCAGCAACATCCTATCAGGGTATTCTTCCCTGATCTTTGATATCAAAAGGGTCCCCATTCCAGACCCTGTTCCTCCTCCCAGCGAATGACAAATTTGAAACCCTAATCACAAATTCCACCCATCAGCAAAACAACAAAAAAAGACGATATTTTTACGACGAGAGATGAAGAAAGAAATTTCATTCATATACCCTGTAAGCAATCGCAATTCTCTGCTTCTTTACGAACAACGTCGAGCACAGAATCGATCAATTCCGCTCCTTCAGTATAATGCCCCTTAGCCCAGTTGTTTCCGGCGCCATTTTGGCCGAAAACGAAGTTATCCGGCCGGAATATCTGGCCGAAAGGACCAGTACGGAGGCTATCCATGGTACCCGGTTCAAGGTCCATGAGCACAGCTCTAGGCACGTAACGGTTACCGCTAGCTTCATTATAGTACACATTAATCCTCTCAAGTTGAAGACGAGAATCACCAACATACTTCCCGGTTGCATCAATCCCATGCTCGTCGCACATCACCTCCCAAAACTTGCCGCCGATTTGGTTCCCACATTGCCCTGCTTGAACGTGAAGAATTTCCCTCATTTTCAGATAGCAAGCAACTAGTATAAATTAAGCAAATGGGTTTGTTTTCCCTGTGCAGAAAGCTCAGGAAAGATGGTGCTGAAGAATGAAATGGAGCTGCCTTTTATAGGAAAAGAAAAAAAGGTGAGGATTTTTCTCTCTTCTTTAATGAATTGGAGAAGAAGAAGAGGAGGAGGATATTTCTTCAACTTTTTTTAGTAATACTGAAAATAGTAGGAATTACTATAAATTTTAAGGACATAAATAAATAATATAAAGTGTCATTGTTAGGAAGAAGGCATGTCAAGGTCCAATTAAGGTTGTGAGCTGGAGATGGGGAAGGAGACAATAAGTTGCATGTTGGTTTTCTCTTGCCAAATTCAAACAAAGGGTCACCAACCTCCATCCTCCTATAATGCGATTTCTCATCTTAATTCTAATTGGGGTTTTGAGAAAAAAAAAAAAATGCCTACTTTCCTATTTGATTGCCACTCTTGATTTGCTTTTCTTAATTGATGGGATTAGTAAAAATTATGCTATACCTAAAGCATTCTAATTAGATGACAAGAGGGTTTATCTCTCAATCTTATTAATTGAGTTTCTTTTTTAGGAAAGTGTGACTTTTTAATAAATTTTTTAGTAAATAGCTGATTATATAAGAGGTAAACTAAGTATGGTAGATAAAAATTAACTTATATTACCATCTCAAATGTTATAAAAAAAAATGTTACTTTTATTTGTTAATAAGATGAGAAGTTCAAGACACACTAGATTAAATAGTAGGACAAACTTATTTTATCACTTTATTGATTAGTTTTAGTTTTTTAAAGAAGTAATTTCTTATAATATTTTTTTTTGGATTGAAGGAGATGAATTAATACTAACATACTATGGATTCATTTGAGAATATTTTTCAATGTTTTTACTTTGAGTTTTTATATTTTGTTACTATTTTAAAAATATATAAAATATTTTTTTGATAAATCAAATAAAATTTTTATAAATATAGAGTACAATAGGTACTTTAACCATATTTACAATACTCCTATTATCGTTATCAGAATTCCACTCACCTTTTATAAAATAAGAAACAACATTAAGTTTTACATAGAATTGGGAACTTACACCAATCACTGTAATTGAACACAGCAGATTTAATTAATATAAAATATTAATTAAAATAAATATTAAATATAATTTATATATTTTTGAGATATTAAAAGATAAAAAAAAATCTATAACTGTAGCTATATACTAGTATTGTCAACCTAAACCTAAAGCCAACTCTTTTTACTGAAAAATTATTCCAAACCACCTTATCCTTACCATAAAAATATGTTACTTGTTAGGCTTTCATCCAACGAAAGCACTACAATCATTAGTTCCCAAATTTCAGATCTTAGGTTTTTTTTTTTTTTTGTTCGAATTTTCTCTTATTTTGACGGATTTTCATTGCCATTACTTGCTATTAATAATTGAATTGTAATTATAATTAGGTATTCCAATGATGTGAATAAGAAAAAAAAGTAAGATGCAAAAGCTCCTCTGGATAACTAGACAGACTCTGGATAAGGAAGAAAAAAGAAGCATTCAGAATTCTTCCTAAAAAGATGATTGTAGTAAGCAAACAAAATAATTATTAGCTTGGTACCATTCCCAGATAGATTTATAAGTTTTGTTCAATGATTTTGAGGGAAAATATCACAAACATGTGATGTGTATATCAAGAGTCGGTTGCATGTATTTTATAAATCATTAAAGAGATTCCATGTCTGATTTAAGGATCAAATTAATAAGCTGAAATTAAGAAGCAGAAGAAGAAGTTGAAAATAGCAAAAATAGATACATGACCCTCCAATTAAAATTGTTAATTATATAATAACATTTTATGATTGTAAGTTTACAATGTGTCATTTCATTATAATTATATTATTTTCATTTTCATTGTAAACAGAGAGCAAGAGCTAAGTGATAACAAATTTCAATTATTGACAATGTCTGGCCCCCCTTTCCAGCCCCGCCCTGGCACCAGTTGGCTACCTGCTGGAATCCAATGTCTATCCCCCTCAACATGATATTATTGGGAGATAATATCATCTGCATTCCATCTCCTACTTTCTAACCACAATTTCATTTCAACATAATGCAGAATTCCATACAAGCATCAAAATAGATAATTAACCATTCAACAAACTATTGCAAACAGAAAATGTACCTTGATATGGGAATCCATGGGATTGTTGACAGCATAGTGTTTTTTTCTGCCGTCATGCCCATTTGATCTAGCCAAATGTCTAAACTTATCTCATCTTTGCTCATAATAAATAAATAAATAACTTAAAAACTTAAAAATTTTGATTTGGAGTCAAGATCAAAATTGTTACAATAAATGATGTTATAAACCAACAATTATTACTTCAGGAGTTTATATGAAGTGGCTTGACTTGAACAAACGCTTTATGTATTCCATGATGGTTTACACAAGAATCCTCGGTACCAAGGATTTATAATCACAATTTATTTTAAGAGCAAATTAGAAACATTCAATAGAGAACCAAAAAACCATGCCCAAATAGTGGACACTTGACAGTTTACATAATGCAAGGGGCTGTCACTTAATGCACAAGAACATTGTTCACCTCAGTAAAGTAGCTCCTCAAAAACAGGATCTACTGATTGTCCCCATTTCCCATGGTACAATTCCAAAAGTTTCTCAGCTGGTGTCACACCTGCAGATAAGATTGCCGACGATCATTGAGACCTCTCTCTTAGTTGGGAAACTGGGGTTGGGAGGGGCGAGGAAGACTAGTATGTGAATAAAAAAGTAATCTACTTGTTAAGCTACCTGTTCTAACTACCTCTGCCACCTCATTTAAGAACCCTGATTCCTTAAATCCCCTCCTTTCCAGGCCATCCTGTGAGTAATGAACTTAGATTACAACAGCAACAGAATCTACTATGCAAAAGTAATAGTAAAAACTAAAAATCCCAGGTTACCTTTGCCAACTTTAAAACGTCTTCAGCTACATGCTTCAACAGTCCATCCCGAAATGGTGTCCTTAGACCAGTCTTTGGAACCTACTAAAACAGGTTTCTTAAGTTAGATTTCATGTTTACTACTGCAGGACATAGCTTATGCTTTTTCTTACTGTCATACAATGGCTATACCATATGTAATTGTTTGTTAACTAATAAAATATAGATGCCTGGCACATCTAAACATACCCAGTCTAAATTATCAATAAGGGGAGCATCATAATAAAAACCCTTTGAAAGACAATACTAGAATTTATTTGCTTCTGTTGTGTGTTTTATATTACCTTATTTCTTAACATTTGTCTTTCTTCAGGTGTCCAATCAGCTGTCATGTCTAGAACATTTTGTAGAGAGACCTCATCATATAACAAGCCCACCTTACAATAAAATGAAAATCAAGATGAGCAAATGTTGCAGAAACTGCCACTTTAATGTCATTGTTTACAAGAAATGAGAAAGAAAACATGCAACCATCTTCGAGAGGATTTCAAGGAAAACGCTTGATGCTGCCACAATATGGGCATTAGAGAAGCCATGGTATAGAAAATAGCATCAATCTTTTTTCCTTTTAATGCAAACACATAAATTAGATGGCAAGTCCAATAAATGAAGAACAGGAGTGTAGGCTATGGCAGGAATAACAATGTCAGGAGACGAAAAGCAGAAGAAATAATCACAAGCAAAGTAAAAATAAATCTATACATACAGCTCACCATAGTAGCTATTCCTACATCCAAGGTGGGGTTGGGGTTAAGATGTGAAATTAAGATTGTCTTGAGAGAATTTTAAAGAATCTCCAGCTTCCAGGGCTTTCAAAGCCCTTCCTGATCTGTTACCCAGCAGAAATTTACCATGGTATGCCTGATTTTGGGTAGTCTAAACTTCCTTCCTTTGGACAAGGCTATATCTACAGGTGATCAGTTATGAAATCCAAAATGATGCTATTTTGAGATTTAACATTCTTTAAAGTGTAGTTTCAAATTCCATTGTGTTGTCATAATTGTAAACTACACATCACCACAATAGATAAACTTGACAAAGAGGTCAAACATGCTAATTACCCAAAAAGCTGGTAAAGCACATAACCTCCTCCAAGGCCCTCCATCAGCACCTCTCATCTCCAAGTACCTCTTTAGTCTAACCTAAATAGAGGAGGAGTAGCAAATGGCTTAAATCAGGCAAGAGCATTATAAAACTGAAAATCATTCGCAAATCATCATAAATGCAACCTCTGGAAATATTGTAGTCAAATGATTTTCCCAATCATTGAGGGTTGGTAATTCACCAGGAATGCTTGGAAGTTTTCCAGCCATAAAGTCCTACAAAATGAGCAGTGTTATTTCTCAAAATATCTAGAGAATTGGAGAAGATGTTCTTTTTACATTTTTTTTGAGAATAAATATGGAAGCAACATAGGAGTCACTAAGGTAAGGAGACCAACAGAAGAACCTTCAAATCACAAGACAATTAAAAGGATAGATAGAAACCCTGAATGACATCCCGGTGCAGTCAATATACTTCTTTTTCCGATAAACAAAATACATTGGAACATCAAGAGCATAGTCAACATACTGCTCAAACCTGAAGCAACAGTTAAAAAATACCATCACTTAAATCACCCGGTAAGGTATTATATTCAAAACAAAAGGAAAATTTAATCCGGTTATTTCAACTTGCAAGAGTGATCATAACAATGTATGAAAAGCCAAATTGATGCAAAGTCACACAGATGACTAGAAAGAACTGCTGAAGAAAATGGAACAGCTATCTTTTCTAAGAAAAAAGAAAGGCAAAAGAAACACCATTTGTGCTAATAAATAAACCAAGGCAGTATTGCCAAAGACATGGAGACTATATTTTCCAGTTGCAAGATCATCTATGCTAGTTATATGTATTGACTGCCCAAATATATGAAAGCATGTTCAAAAACAGTAGCACATGATTCTTTGGCCAAGAAGACAGCATAGGACTCTAAGCATGCTAATCTTTGTTGGAGAAGATTAATATTATGTGATTTTTTTCAACAAATAATAAATAAATAAATAAATAAATTAGACATACCCAAAGGAGTCATCAAATACAAAAGGAAGCATGCCAGTACGGTTGTTGTCAGTATCAGTCCAAATATGGCTGTCCAAAAAATTTTAGGAAAAAGAATCAATAGAAATAATTACCAAACATATAAAATTAACACTATTGTAAAATTCAGAAACCTTCTCATGCTGAGATAACCATTTGGCTTCCCTTCCATAAAAGGTGAATTTGCAAATAGAGCTGTTGCTATCTGTTGGATTTGCATGCTAATCAGAAAACTTTAGATCACAGAGAAATTCAGTGAAAAGAAGAAGTACTAATGTTCTCACAGGCTGTAAAGCAAGACCAGCTTGGAATTTCCTGATCATGTCAACTTCTGAACAGAAGTCCAAATTAACCTAATCATTGCAGTAAATGTTTTGATAACAATATCTTATTAGAATTTGAAAGAAAAGACTACTTTGCAGACTAAGATTTAACTGTAAAAGTAGCAAGAAACAAAAGAGTTTGCGTCATAATGGCCTAACAATGAAAAAGGTAAAACTCATCTAACCTGAACTGTGCATGTTCTGAACATCATATCAAGTCCCAATGAGCCAACCTTAGGCATGTAATTTCTCATAATCTCATATCTTCCCTGAGTAACAGCATTACATCAGATAACAGACTGATAGAGAAATTGAACAAGCATTGTTCAAATATTATGGAGGTGAAATAACATGGAAATATGAGAATTATAAAAATTAAAAACAAAACGAAAGCCTCTATATATCATTCTATGTAAGAAAGCTAAAATAGAAAAGATGACTATGATTATAGACTCGAGAGAAAGAACATCAAATTGAAGCGGTAGCATTTTTTTATGTAATTTCAACTTGCCAAGCAACTTGAATGAGTTAAAGAGTAATTTAAATTATACCTTGGGCATGATAGGTATGTCTTTAATTCCCCATTTGGGCTGGAAACCAATGCCTAAGAATCCAATGCCCATTTCCTCTGCAACAGCTTTAACCTAATGAAATCATAAATACAAATACACTAAAAAGTTCAGCAGCCAAACATAAAGCACAGATTTCTAGTGAAACTGGAAAGTGTAAACAAATGCAAAACAACAGCAGAACCAATTAACTGAAATTTATTTGTGAACATCTCTCCTACTAACCTGATAAAGATGTGAATTGACCTCAGCACAAGTTTGATGCAAAGTCTCAAGAGGTGCACCGCTAAGCTCAAACTGGCCTCCAGGCTCCAGTGATATGCTTTGCTTCCCCTATCACACAAAAGCCAAGGTTTTGAGAAGAAAGTCAACAAGAAGAACACAATTGATTGTTTTCTTCTCGATTAGATTTGTCAAAAACAGCCATTTGAACAACAACATATTACAGTATTGTATGAGGAGTTCAAAAGATAAAAATAAAGTACATGGGAATAATATCAAGATATCCAATTTACCTGTTTGAGTCCTATAATATTGTCCCCCTCCATTATTTTTTCCCAGTCAAATCTCTCAGCAATACCATTAAGTAACTCTGCTATTTGTTCATATCTCATAGGACTCAAAGTTTCAAACTCAAAACCAAACTTCTCATGTTCTGTACCTATCCTGATGAAAGCAAGCAACTACATATGATCCCAATTATAGAAATCATATTCAAGTAGGACAGAGGAGATAAAGATACTACTCCAATCCAAGCAAAACAAGGTTGTTGAAGTTTACCTCCATTTCTCCTTAGGCTTACATCCAGAAGCAAGGTATCCAACAAGATCCTCTTTTGTCAGTGGCTCTGTAGTAATCACAGCATCCTCAGTGGGAGGACTAGCTGCAACAATTATCCTGCACGCTCTTTTGATCCCCACACCCTCAGTTTCTACAGGGAAACTTCGCACCATCTTGCAAGAGCTGCTTGACAAGGAAGAAAAACCAATAGATTTTTCTTTCATAGTAGATGCCTCCACAATCCTTGCCCTGTCAAAAACCACAGGCTGTACTGTCCTACCCTGCGTTACGTCAGCCTGAATGCAATATAACGGGCCTACCCTGGAAACAACTGCCATTGTATGCTCCCTGAAAGATGCCAAGATCACAATTAGATCCCATCAATTCAAATTCCAGAGCCGTAATTTTACATCATCCACTCTCAGCAGGATGCTAAGCATTAACAAGTCACCCATTGCCCATGTCTCATTTCTGAGGAGTGTTCTCAATAAGCAAACAAAACGCAGAATCATCACAGAAATGCTGCATATATAACACTACCAAAAAAAAAAAAAAACCGATTCCAGAGTCCACCCAGATTCAAAACAACACGGGAATATCAAAAATGTTTGTAAAAAATTGCAGAAGTTAATTAAATGATTCAACTTTCGAAGGAGAACTCACAATTCAACAATAAATTATTCATACACAAATCTAACCTGAGTGAAAAGAAAAGAAAAAAAAAAAAGAGAAGAGAAAAGGAAGAACCCAATGATAGGAATTCTTACCACAGACGCCGGAATTGAATTGTAAGGTTTCAGGCTTCGGTTTGTATGAATCCACGAGATTTATAGAGAGAGCTAAGCCAACAATGGAGAGATTGTCCTTAGTGCAGAGAAAAAAAACATAAGAAGAAGAGAAGAGAAAGTATAATCCTGTGCGACAATAATGATGCTGTGCTGTACAATGTCTACACTACTGACACGTCAGCTACAGCCATTGGATGCGCAGCCTTGCTTTGTAGTTTGGAAGTCTTTGGACCCATGTTTATGTGTCACGTCCACAACATTCGAAAATAAAATGAAATAACAAATAATAATGATAAATAAAAGTGAAATTAGAATTTAATCGAATTTTTTTATGATTAAATAATTTAAGGGTTATTTTTTTTATTAAAAATAAAAAATTTTATGTTCAAATTACATAACACAAAATCTTTTTTTATTGAGATAAGAGATATGAGATGATTGCTTCCTTTCATGTAACCAAGATAAACAAAAACAATTAAACCAATCTAATGTAATGATTTGCCAGTAAATTTTAAATGTTTGAGCATAGTTAATCGAGAGTTCAACTCTCACCAATAATTTAAGAAAAAAAT